CCCATTTGTTTTGGCTTCACATTGCTTTTCACTATGTCCTTTCTTGGTACATCATCAAAGGGATTTGACCCTACAAGGTGCCCCGAAAGAAAAGAACCCATGAGATACGACCTGCCATTCGTTCGTGTCACACCGCTGGGGTGTGTCCACCCCTTTGAGTCCAACCTCCGCCGGCCGAGTCCTTTCGCCTCTGGACCTCCAAAACCGGCCAAACCGCACGGGCGCATGACGTGGAGTGGCACGGCACATGACGTCGTTTGTAGTGGTGATGGTTTTTTTCCAAAGCATCTCGTTGTAGTCGTAAAGGAAGACATCAATTCAATTCATTATGACAAAATTGATGAGACACTCAGTGCTTTGGCTTGATACACACATTCTCCTTGTATGAGAGGCTTGTACATCCACAAATAATATCCCTTCAAGTGATCTTTTCACTGGACTTCGGCACGATGGTGGGGGGATCGTTCGGCGATCCCGGGGGGGGCGGCCAGGAAATGGGCGATCATGGAGTTCGGCTCCATGCGTTCACTCTTCTCAGTCTTCGATGAGGATTGCAGTGGCAGCCTCTCCTGGCAGGCGCCCAGACGAGTTTTCCCTGCACCTGGCGGACTTGGGGGTGTGAGTGGCTTCTGAGCGGGCCACCCCTTACACTGGTAGCAGTGCTGAGTCAGTTGCCGACAAGGCTCCTCCAGGAATCAAGAGTTGCCGAAAATCCTTTGTCGTCTGAGATGGTCTGAGAACATCAAAAATGCCAAGACAGTTCTCCCTTCAACATCTCGCTTCCAGAAAGATGGCGTGCATCCTTTTAACCCGAAAGTTGGTGTTGCTGCCGCGAGGTCTTCACATGGCTCTGCACCGGTCAAGTCACCTGCTCTCGGCGCCTTCGACCGGTCACGTCCCAAACGGAGCACCGTCCAACCCGCGACGCCCACGGCTCCAGGAGTTCCGCTATGCGTGCAATGCATACAGCTACGATGGGTCGATCAGGTGGAGCGTAAACGGACCAGCGCCAGTGGTGGGTTAAGAAGGTAGGATGGTAAAAGGAGGTACATAGGAGGCATAAGAATGCTGGATGCTATAGGCCTATAGGCTATGCTAGGCCCAACAAACATGATTCAACGGTCGAGTTCTGAAGAGCTGTCAGAAAGGACCTTCTTGAAGCCGAGCCCGAGACCGTTCAAGATATATGCCATGCCTGCTGAAACGTCCTCGCTTGCTGACCGAGTTTCGGTGGACCAGGTCGCTGTTCAACGCCTTAGACGTGGATCAAACGGGGAGCCTGACGCTGCGCCTCGGACACGAACAGCTGCGCCCAAGCAACATGGGCCGGGGCCGGTGGCACTGACTTGGAGCGAGACTGACGCTTTGGTGGAAGACGGCATCATACGACATCATGTAGACTCTTGATTAACAAGACCTCCATATTATAGAGAGGATGTCCAATTCAACTGGGTGGGTTTATTAATCCACATGATCGACTGATTCTCCACATGTTCGAATTCACGTTGGAGGTTTCGTCCGTTTTCGTCCCCCGGGGGTTGGCAGTCGATGGTCCAGGAAGGAGGTGGTCTTCCTGGAAGATTGGGATGATCCGGATGAGGAGCAGTGACAATTTCAGCGACAGGTGGCATATATCGGCATATATGGGATGCATATGATGGCATATTCTGGCATATGGCATGTGATACGATCCACTTTCCTGATCCTTGAAGTCTTCCAAGAAGTTTATCTCAGTTTGGCCACGTCACTTCAGCATTTTCCATGGTCAGATGAAGGAAGATGCACCTAAAGCTGAGAGTCCTTGAGAACCTTCATCTGGGCGCAGATCGGTCATGATGATCATCATGGATCGGTCAGCCTTTGCTTGCCAGGACGAACGAGATCGACTCCCTTTGGAAGGCGCCCACTCTGGGAGCGCGCTCGGTAGCGGGGGTGGGGGTACGGGGGGAGTGCCCCGGACTCCCTCGGAAAAAAGGCCGATGGATTCGAACGCCCTCCGCCAGGGGAAGGAAACAACTCGGGTTGGGATTTTCTACTGTAGGTCAAGCATATCAGGTAATTGGAGTGAGTACCCATGGATGGGGGAAGGATCTCAGGAACTTCTGCATGCCGAGAAGAAATCTGAAAGGCACCTTGCCAGGAATCTCTTGAGGCAGTTCAGCTTGAAAGCACTTTGGCATAAGCCAAGACATGCCAAGACACAGCTCGTCCGCTTTCTTTGTTCGGACGCAGATCTTGGTAATCCCAACAAGAAGTCCGCTATTGAACATGGCCCACTTTCGTGCTGTTCTCCCCATAGAACCACAAAATCTTGTGCTTCAAGACATGTTTCATGAAGATATGTTCAGTTGTTTTTGGAGGTGGTCTTTTGATTTTGGACATTTTTGGAATGCTCGTATGTTGTGTTTGATCGACGTGCCCTCATATGTAGCGTTTGGCTTGCTGTTGTTCGCTTTTGGGCGTTTGGCTTGGCTTTCTTTGGGTGGCTTTGGGTCTCGATCTGTGGCTTTGATGGCTTTTTGGCTTCTCGCTTCAGCGGCTTGCTTTCCCCCACCTCCTCCAGCATTTCAGTTCGAAGAACCACGCGCAAACAAAGGACCAGAGAAGTCAGAGACGTTCAATGCAAAGGCTTTAGCCGCTTTAGCCTGGAGAAACATCCTTTCGCCCCCTGTTTCTGTTCACAAGACCCAGGAACTGGGAGAGAAAAGGATGGATATCAGCGCCAATTCCAAGCGGAACTTCGAAGTCTTTTCTACCTACCGGACCATTGGTCGCACACGAATTGGTCACCGCTTCAAGTCAGCCTCATTAAATAGTACACATAATTATAGCAACACTAAAAGCGTCATATCAAGCTAGCGGCCAAAACATGTTGATGGCTTTGAGTCTTGGAGTCCTGTGTGTGTTGCTTTTTTTTTGTCCTCTTCGACTGTGGAGGACCCAACATTCATGCGCAAGGGGCGCAGGCGGTGCGAGCGTGGGAGCGCATTTTCCGCCGCAGAAGTGCAACATCTGCCCGGGGTCACATGGATGGCTTTTGGACGTCCCGAGTTGATGGACATACCATGGTTTTTGACGGTTTGTGGGAAGTCTGGGAAGTCTCTTCCTGCCGGGCATGGCATTGGACATGGGAACGCTTGCCAAAGCTGGTGTGGGAGACCGACCAAGATTTTGAGCCTTCGGCAAGAGATGCCTTGAACACAAGATGCATGCCTTGACGATTCTGAAAGAGATACCTTGCCAAGGTGGTTCTTCAAGTTGAAGCTTGCACAAGCAAGCTATCCACCTGAACTTCAGATGCACACCAGTTGATTCTTCAGAATTCCTCTGGGCCAACCACCTGATCCCACATCTTTCCACAGCCGAGCATAAGCAGGTGGGCTACAGCACTCTGGTGGGTGCGCCATGGCAAGTGACAGATCGTCCAGCCACTCGACTAGACAATAGGACAGCCTGGCAGTGCGCGTGGAACTTCAGTTGGAACTTAAAGCCTATCAGAAAAAACATAGAAAAACATAGGTTCTGATATGTTCTTGATGGTTCTGCCACCCTTTTGCACATCAAAAGCCTTGGCAAACAAGGGCTTTGTAAAGGTCAAACCACTTGGCATGGCGCGATTCGCGTCGCGTTTTCTTCCACTGCGGCGGCCATTTTCGGCGGCCAACTCCCGAGGCCAGACGCTTCGAGGTAGTGAGGCTGGAAAGAGACGAAAACCTCACGAGGTCGAGACATGTTGGGAAACTCAGGAAAACTTAGATGTGGGTCTGTGGGTCACTTCTTTTTCTCATTTTTTGTGCCTGATTGGCAATTTTATTGACATTTCCTGACATGATGGATGCCTGTGACATCTGGTGACGCACTGGTGCTTGGCTGTCGCCTTGGTTCTCCTTTGGAAAAAATGAAGCTGCTCTCCGTTTCCTGGTTTGGCTTGAGGTGATTTCTTCCCTGTGGGTGAATCCCCTTCCGGGGAAGAGATTTTTCCCCGGTTCCGTAAGCAAGATCCAGAGAGGTCCACAGAGCCAGGTGGTGAGGAGCCGTGGCTTGATTCCACGGAGGAGGAGTTTTACGGAAGATGAGCCACCATGGTGATTTTCGGGGTCATGCCGTGCACGTGACCATGGTGTAGGATGACCTGGAGCGGATAGAATATGATAGAATATTGGAACATCCAAAAGCAAAGGAATGCTGATCATATTTGTGGACTGGTTAATATTATATCTACTCCAGGATTCTGATAATTCCAAGGCGATGTAATCATGTTAATCCCCACCCTTTCCTATCCAAGTGGTTGGACCCATGAGCTATTAAGAGGATCAATTGTAACTAGTGTTTAGGACGGCGGAGGTTGATAAGTCACATACCCCAGAGGGCCAAGGGTGCTGACAACAAGTAAGTTAACAAGTAAGTTCATGGGTGGGATCAGCAGCAAGGCATTGGCTGGATATATTTGGATATGATATGACAATAACTGAAAAGATGCTTTTGAAGGGGCCTGAGATATGTTCGCCAGACGGAGTTGAGTTCATTATTGATCTGGACTCGTGGAATTCTCATGTCGCACGCATCTCTCGCCTGTATGATGGGAAGAAGGACTTGGCAACATGTGGCGACGGGTTCTTTGAAAGGCACCCTCCAACCTGTATGTTGAGTGATTTCAGTGTAGTTGTAGGAGTAGTCATGCTGGGGACAGTTCACTCAGAGGATCGCGCCATGGGACTTTGAACGTGCTAAGAGTCTTGACTGAGTAGGGTATCGAAAGAGGCCCAGCTGTTTCTTCTACGTTGCAGAGGCTCAATCAGGTCCTTTGGACACTGACAAATGAGTGATCTGAAGTAGGGGAGCAGTAAAGGAGGGGCATGCCACCTGGAGTAGATTGCATAGTAGACTATTAATAGACCATGAAACAATCTGTGTTTGACAATGTCATTCATAAGGATTAAACATGATCAACGATGGCTTCTCAAGTGACTTCATGTCCACAGACCCTGCTCGCTTTAGTCATGTGGCCATTGCACCTGAAGCTGCACGCCCGCTTCTTTGCAACTGCAAGTGAGCTGGCCAAATGGGAAAGGCGTTGCAATCGATTGACACAGCTGCAACGACAAATCAGGTTTCTGCCTTTGCAGCACTTCTCAGTTGGCGACATGACATATACGCTGCCACTTAAAGCACTTGGTCCTCCATCGCATCTCCCAACTCGACAAGAGCTTGGATACCTAGCTGGATTCTTTGATGGAGATGGGTACGTGAGCATGGTGAAGAGTACTGGACAAATGTCGATGGGTATTGGCCAAACTCTGGATTCTGCCAGAGTGCTCATCCGCTTCCGTGACAGTTTTGGTGGTGGCATTTGGCACCATAGGTGCCAATCAGGAACACACAGAGCAACGCTGCAATGGCAAGTTCATGGCAGAACTATGCGACACGCAGCACAGGTGCTTTGCAAAGTTCCTTCCATGCAGCGGGCACAACTCCAGATAGCAGCAGCTGGGAAAATAACAAAGGCAGACAGAAGTGGTGTGGCACAGACGTTAAGGCTGTTGAAGCAGAAGGACCATGTGCCTGCAAACTTCAGTTGTTCATGGCCTTACTTTGCTGGTTTTTTTGATGCTGAGGGGTCGATTTCTGTTCGTGGATCTTGCGTTGGGCTTGAACTGCAAGTGGGCCAAATGAACCCGTTTGTTTTGGAGGAATTGCATTCCTTCTTGCACAAGCAGGAGTTGAGTAAGTGGAGACTTGAGTGCAGAAGCGATGGGGGTTGTCAACTCCGCTGTGCAGACCTTGCAACTTGCAAGCGGACGCTGCGGCACCTGTTGGATGCTGGCCTTGACCTCAAACAGAGCCAGGCGGCTCTAGCTGTTTCCCTGGAGGCTGACAATCATAAACAAGTTCGTGAGCACATGTTTTCATTGAATGGCTTTAACAGCAAGTACCGGCGCCTTGACGATGCAGGCATTGAGCGTGCCAAACAAATCAATAGTGTCCGTAAACAATTCAACAGAGCCTCCTCCCAACAAGAACGTGAGTTGCTGCAGGCGAAGCTTGAAGGTCTTCGAGAAGATCACAAATTGCAGAAATTACAACTCAAATCTGTGAGCCTACGTGGCAGCATCCGACAGTCACTTCAAGATGGAGGTTTCGTGGTGCCGATCTGAATGAGCTATGGACAGAATGAGTCGAGGCAAAGGCTCAACGACTTTAATTCTCTGTGTGTTGCAAAGAACTGCTGCGCTTGTTCAAGAGAAGGAACACAACCGGAGTGCTTTTCCATGTTTTAAGTCTGATGTTTCTGAAAAGGCTGAAGATGAGGCGGGTGGAGTTGGAGCCAGATTCCAAGCCAGCCCAAAGCAAAGAACCATTTGAGTGGACAATGGCTAGGTCCATAGGGTTGATAGACCATGAGGCCTATGAGGCCTACCATTTCTTAGTTGGCATTCTCCACTGCATCGAACTGAAGACCACATATTTTGCGGTTGTTGTGGACATGTGCATCGTTGTTGACCTCAAACGCGCGATCTTTCCGGAAAAAAATGCGCCTCAAGGACACCTATAACAAGATCCACGGCATGGATATCCACGGTATGGGCCCCTCGAATCCTTAGAGAACGGTTGAGATCAAAGATGGTCATACTAACTAGTACACATTCTATCTATCAGATGCCTTTAGTCAAATACAGGACATTTGTTGAAGCATATCCCAGTCATCCCCAGCAAATGTTTAATGAGGTTTTCAAGCAACAGTGCAAAACTAATGGCAGGTACTGGGATGCCTGCGTTCTCCCATTAACAGCCTCGTGCTGCAAAAAACCGCCAGCTGATGCGGGATTGGCCGCTGATGGTTCTAACAGGAAGAAACTGAACATCAATGCACAACCACAAGAACGCCAATCCCAGACTGACCATTCATGTAATACCTACCATTGGGCCATTGGGGTGGTTTCAGGGGTGAACGTAGGTAAATATTCCATACATGGAGTGTTTGGGAATATTTGCTTGACGGACATTCAAAGGTCCAAAAGCCAACCGCAAGGCCAGACTCAGCCATGTCGTTTCACCGACCCTGAGAGATTCCCACCCAACAGAGCATGGCCAGCCAGCATGGCAGGATCGGTTGCTCATTCAAAGAGTTCTTGGGAGTGCTTAAGATGGGATCAAAAAAGGGGGTTGCTGCATATACCTCCGCGCCAGCAGGAACGCAAACTCCCCAGTGCTTGGTAGAAGGTTGGCAGAAAATCCCTTGGCAAACGCATTCTGAGATCCGGCGGTGTGTAGAGGTACCCTGGGTTTGCTGAAGGAAGTGGTTTTGTTTTACCTCTGGGTGAATATAGCCTTTCCTGGCTCCCTTCAGCAAATCCAAGTGTTTTTGGTGGATTTGTTTGTTCAATGGTTGTTTTTCTCATGTTTCTCTCGTTGGTGGGGTCCCCATCCAATTGGAATTCCAACCGGCCTGTGGTCCGGGAGCCTGCCCTCCTCCAGGCGCAAGCGTCCGAGCCTCGAGGAGACCTCAGATCAGCGTCCGGCCCTGCTTCCTGGCCTCCCCCCATAGGAATAGAAGCACTCGACATGCACGGAGTCTAAGAGTCTTTCCAACGTATTTGGCGAGATTTATCCGACTTTTTCCATCAACGATATAAGTTTCCAAAGTTGTTTTGAGATGGATCGTTGATAATCTTTTCTTTTTGGGTTTCCCCTCTGATGTACTTGGTTCACCTGTAGGTCATCCGCAGCCCTGTAGGGGCCCGAACCCATCGGGCGTGATTCGTTTCGGGGCAGACGATGGACGTTCATCGATGTGGTCACTGCCAAGCAGCTTTGTAACTGCGGTGCTTGCCTTTGTCCTGTGGCGGCCACGGCAGCAGGTCTTTCTTGACCGGATTTGCATCAGCAAGAACAATGATGACTTGAAGGCCGCTAGCATTTTTAGCTTGGCAGGCATCTTGAACAAGTCAGACGAGATGCTTGTACTGTGGGACCCGACGTGGAGCGATCGGTTGTGGTGTGTATTCGAGCTTGCTGCCTTTCTAAAAAGCAAAGTGGCCAGTGAACAAGTACTGCTTATCAGACCAACTGTTCTTGGGCCATGTTCGATCAGTCTTTTCATCGCTATGTTTGTCGTGATGCTGCCTGTGACTACAGTTCCGGCTGTGGGAGAGCGTCTTGTGACTGCCCCACTCTCAGGTGCTTTTCTGTTCCTGTTTATCGTTGCCTATTTCATTTCAGCTTCCTTCAGGCAATACTTTCGCTCGATAGAGGCCTTAAAGGAGAAGTTAAGGAACATCAGCTTCGACAACACTAGATGTTCCTGCTGCGATCTGGGCCATGTAGACGGAGGACGCAGCCTCATGTGCGACAGGCGAATTGTCATAAAATGTGTCGATTTGGTTTGGCAGTCCAGAGGCGTTTGAAGACTGTGCTCGATCAGAGGTCTTGGATGCTTTGGTTGGAGGACTGCATGACCAGATCTTCACCAGAGGCTGGAGCCTCTCAGTGTCCATCCCCCTTCTTTGGGCATTTTTCGATTGGTGGTCACGCATGCGAGAAATGGCCAACCAGCTTGGGCCATTGCTTCCACAATCGACGGGATGGTGCTTTGGTTCTGTTGCGCACCGCTATTTATGGATTTGGGGACCTACTTGGCTTGCAGGTATTGCAAGCGAGGGTCTTCCACGCTCCACGAGATGTGGCAGAACCTCAAAGTTGTACTTGTGGCAGTTGTTGCTTTTGGTGTGATTGCCACAAGCTGGGTCTTTTCTGAGTATGCATATCATACATCTGAGCGTCTTGATCATGGAGCTGCGCTGTTTGCAGGAGTGTGGGGCACAGTCGCACTGTTCCACTATGTTCCACTTCTTGTACAAAGTTTCACGAAGGTCACATGGCTGTCACTTTTTCAGCTTCGGTCTCGTGGCTGAGGTTTGGAACCAAGTGCTAGTTTCACATGCAGAAGAGAAAAGGTGATGCAGTTCTCATCCTCCAGTGTTTGCTGTGGGCTCCCCTGCGGAACTTAAAGAACCACTTAGAGTTCTAAAAGTGTCAGTCAGTCAGTGTCATGTGCGGCATGTGTCTTTTTGTGCCAGCCGGCTGGTAGGAGATCCACATTATCCAAAGAAGTCGGCTCTCTAAGCCGGCTGGTAGGAGATCCATTATGAGAGCTCTTGTAAGCACAGTAGGTGATCTCCGGCTGGTAGGAGAGTCCTTGTTCATGGTACAGCTTTTCACCAAAGCTTTGACCTGACGCCTTGTTATGCCACACCATGAAGCGAGACATTGTTGCTCGTGTTGGTGGCTTGCAACAGGTTACGTTTGTATTCACTCGACTCACTCGACGTCCAAGTCAAAGAGATGCCCCATGCCCCCCACGTCTCCCACGCTTGAGAAGTTTAGCTAAGCGCGGTCCGAACCTTCCTTTCACAAAAGTAAGCAGCCATTAGCGATACAACTGATTCAATCAACATCTTCGGGTTTGTCCCATCTATTCTGACACCACTATGACAATTGTAGGGAGTGTAATTGGACTTCCTTCGGCCCAGAAAGCTGAGGTGAGCTGGAGGAGCGTGCCATGCCGTCTGCACGCCTACGCGTGAGTCGTCAAGGTGGGTTCGACGGGAGGTTCGACAGGTGGAAGGTCCGGACGTCCCACATCAAACTTTGAGTGGTCTGACTGTAGGTGATCCGTGTGGTCAAAAGTGTTCAGTTTTGGACTGACAAGCCGGAAGGATTGTTCGATCTGGTCTGTCCTGGGGAGGAAACTCCGTCAAAGCATGTGACAGGTCATGCTCCAATTGCATCCTGACATCCGGCATCCTGGAGGTAGTCCTGCAGGTCCAAAATCACCTGATTCTGGAGCTCCAGATATGCCCTGCCGACCGAAGCCCCGAGCCGAGACCACCGTCTTCGACGGCGCAGGTGAACACGAGAAGACCTCGTGGAGCCTCTACTCGCCGAAGACCTCGTGTGAAGCCAAGGATGGCTAGACATGACCAGGACCCACGGTCGGGGTGGTTCATGGACACCCCGGAAACAACGAAGGGGCTATCAATAGAAGCCCCTTAGGGTGTCCTGGTATAGAGTGTATAATATATATATATATACAGTATCATTTCATGGCATATGGAATGAACAAAAAACATGATGTTGTGAGAAACAAGTCTAGATCTACTCATTCCAGATCAAAAAGGCTTGTCAAGACGAGCCTGTGGTGAAGATGCTGGAACTACGTGGTCCGAGTTCGTGGTGTTGTGTGAGAGGCACTTCAGACTAACAATACACCCCACGCGGCGAGGTCCCGGTGGTGTTTGGCGGACCCACATGACGCCAAGATCGGCCTTCCTCTGGCGTGTCCCAGCACCTTTTGCTTCGACACCCGGACCGAAAAGCCCTAAAACCGACGGCCACGGCCTCGGGGATCCACTCGCGGCCTCCCGCGACTCACTCCGGCCGACTCCGGCCCCACCTGGCCCCACCGGGCGCCGCGGCCGAGGCGCGGGGAGGTCCGGGAGGTGCGGCTGCACAGCCGGCAGCGCCGCTCGGTGCGGAGCCAGCTGTGTGAGACGTCGGAGAACTACGAGGAGCACCTGGTCGGACGCAGGGCATTGTGTGGTCCAATTGAAGCTCGTAGTGAAGTACTCGCTACGTGCGGGGCACGTAGCGTAGCTCGGCTGTTTTTTTCTTTAAGAATGAGAAGAATTTGGTTGCCCCTCTTCTGGTATTGTTAATAATGGTGGTGGATATATAGCATTATAATGCATTATATAGCTGATCATTGTATGTTATATATATATTATCTGTGGCGTGTTTATATACAAAAAAACTGACTGGTCACGTGCTATACAAAATTGGGCTGGCGCACCTAATTTGCCATGCCATGTCCAGGATGGCTTTCAGGGTTCGCTGCTCGTGGCACATTCCAAGGAGCCTTGGAAGCTTTCCCAGGCCTTGGACGGTCAGGAGATCTGTGGGAGGTGCTGTTCGGGCGATTTGAGATGTTCCAGGGGAAAGTATATGAGAAATGAAGCGGATGTGGAGGGACTGGAGGGATCATTATACAACTTCTTTGCCGGGTTGAAGTTGTATTGGACTATTGGACGCGGCTGCAAGAGTTTTGTTTGACGGATCTGGACGGATGACATTGCCATGAATAGGAGAAAACCAGGATGAATACGAGGATACTAGGCCGCTGGTAGACGAAAGGAAAGGACCGCTGATTCCAACAGGAGGTCTCCGAATAAGGTTGGCAAACGAGGTCTCGTTGTCTTGGTTCTTTCCCTTCAGTTCGGATGCGCTGGCAACTTGTGTGGGCGCCCGAGGAAAAAAGAACACAAACTGAACGTCCAGTGGTTGGGAGATTTCAACTTGGTGGGGAACCAACAATCTCCGGAGCTGAACAGCGGGAAGATGAACATGTGCAACATTCTACGATCCAAGATGGGCACCTTGTGGACTTAACACATGTTCAAGCAAACTAGTGAACTTAACTTGGGAACCTTAGGCTTCCAACCTTGGTCTTAAAATCCGACTCAACATGGAAGCGGAAAACCTTCGAAAAGGAAAGTAGCCTTCCAACAACCATGCCATCCACTTCCATGTGAGTAAGCCTGAGTGTAATGGCCTTTTTAGCCCGAAGAACCCGTAGTGAGAATCTTCCAACGGCAAAACCAGGTCGGACCTGGTCTTGGACCTAGGAAGGAGGCAGGTATCTGTAGAAATCTGTAGAAATTCGAGCAGACCATTGCAGACCATGTGGGAAAGTGCATCCAAGAGTGCTACTCTCGGCATGGGATGTTGGCTTGATTGTGAGCCATGCAAGATGTCCACGAACCTTCGAACTGCTGAACATGCCGAAGTTCGCAAACTCGTCTTGCCACATCCAGGACTGGATGGCTGGATCCTTATGGAGCTCAAGAGACAGCGGTTGTGGCCTTGGAAGTGGGCATATATCGTGCATGGCTTGGTTTCGGCGAATCCGCTGGCATAGCGGGGCCGGTGACTTTGGAAAGTTTGCACCCTTTTTGCCGTGTTATTTTTTGGTACCAGCACCTCCAGGTCACCAATTGCAAGCTGTTATAAAGGGCCTTTCCCAACCCTCCATTTCGGAGACCTGTTGGGTTCGGTGCTGGTAGCTGGTTTTTTGGGACAACGGGCTCAGGGTATCTGGAGGAAATGCGATCGACACCGATCGCGTCGTGGCTGGTCACATCGTTTTCCTCTCCACACAGGTTGGAGACTTGGTTTTCCCATTCATTAGCACTTGGGGCCAGGCCATTTGAGGACTCTCAAGTTACAGAGCAAGAGAGAAGTATAGTCCTTTTATTAGTTCCTTTGGTCTGCCCTTTTTCAGCTTGACCCATGTCATGCGCAGCTTGGGACTTGTGCAAGTCAGGTGTTGGGACTTGGCTCTTTCCGGATGTTCTCCAGCGATGTACATACAGGTTCCGGGACCAAATCTTGACGGAGTACCATGGGTTGGCATCAACAATTCAATTCAACAACCCCTGACCCTCCCATCACAGTTGCTTCATTCTACGGGTTCGCAGCGGCGCTCGTGCTGTCGTTGGTGCCCAGTAGAAGAAGACCTTTGCTCGCCACGTTACCCGTGGAGTGGTCGTCGAGAGTTACACTCTGCAGAGCTTGAAGACCATTCCTTTGAAGTCACCAATGAACTCTCCAAGTGACAGGAATGACATCACTGGAGCCAAAAGAGTAGCCGTATATATATATATATACAGTAGCCTTATAATTGATATATATATATACACATACATATGGCCACATATATCCTCCTTGCAATCTCCCAAACCTACAACTCCAGCCGGCACATTCCAACCGAGGTTGGGAGGAGGCAATGGACACTCCCAGCATGTTAATTGACAAGGCGAGTTCGAACTTTCGGCGTTGCCGATGTGTGTGGAATGGCGGGCCAACCACACGGATGGGGGTTTGAGCGGATGTCTTTGCGTGGGACAGCCACGGCAACTCCAAACATCAACCAGGGAAAGAGCAGCTTCAAGGCATGGTGGTTCCATATAGGGCTACAGGTGGTTCCACGAGAGGAGCGCTACACCCGGACGGAGGCTGGATGAAGTGTAAAACTGCTTGTGACACAGCTGGGGCGGCTGCTTGATGTTGCAACGACAGGACAAGGTGACTGACCTTGTGAATTCGTGGAGCGGAAATCCAACCGGGGAGGTTTCTGAAAGTGAAGCAGTCTCTAGGCACTGTGCCCCTATGACACATGACTGCCATCTTGCCAGCCGCACTCTGAAAGTCTCTGAAACCATGTCAAACATGCATGTCAAAGCCATTTCCTTTTATCCACTCCCACTCCTAAGGATCACAGTGACACTGAACACCCCACCAACCACGCCAAACCATCAAGGACCATCTCGTGATGCCTCGCTCCGTACCGCGCGGGACCTCGCCGCCTCCCGCGGCCGCGGTCGAGGTGGGTTTGCAGCTCGAGAAGGCGCGCAGCGGCTCGCCGGCCGCCCCGGCTGCGGAGCGCAGCGCTCGCGGTGATTTTGGCGACGCTGATCTCCACAGTTGGGCCAACTTTAAGGGCTTCACATGGGCGAAACGAGCCGTGGTTCTCTAGGATTGGACTTGTGACTTGTGTTACAAGGTCCAAGGAAGCACAAGGCACCTCACGCATCACCTTCAAGGGGATGGATTGAGCAGCTCAAGACTTGGTTTGGTTTCCATTGAAAGGAAGAATCCGATGACGTCAATGGTGACAATTCATGCTTTGCTCGTTTTCAGGTCGCAGGTTTGCGGAACGTTCCGCGGAACGTATCCGTTCACGATCTAGATTTCCCTTCGAACATGAATTGAATATAGGGGCAACTTCGATATGAATCGGTGTGATGGAGTTCGATATTTGCGGATCGGATCAAACAGTTTCAGTTCGTGAGTTCGTGCTCCAATGCATCCCAATGGTAGAGCTAGAGAAGAAGAGCAGCGAATCCAGACTCATACTAATACCATCTAATACCCTAGCCTAAGATCTCCTGTTTGGGGGGGGTGCTTGCTCACTTTACAGATGTGTTGCTCGAACTGCTCACAGATACGCAGATGCTTGACTGAGAAGCCGCTTTTCTCACCAAGGCCATGGTCCTGCGAACCGGAGACTGCCAGGCCGTGGCCTTGTGTTTTTCGGTGAGGAGCGGAGGGTTGCGAGGCAGACGGCATGTGGCAGGTCACCTGCCTGGGATGCTGGTGGTTGGAAAAACTCTGACAGGTGTGGAGAATTGAGAATTGAGACCCCTGACCTAACAGTTGCTTCCCAAAGTACATGAGTTGACGTTCGTCCTAAGAATTAACCCATCTCTGGTTTTTCCGAATGTCTTTTTGGGAACATTTGCTCCATGTTTCAGGAGGTGATCAAAAGACATGGGAAAACAGCATGTCAAACCTGTGAGGACTGAGGAGGCTCAACCAATTCTTCAACATAAAAAGATGTGACTCATATAGATAGAAGTGAGGAGTCTCCTCTGAGGAGTCTCCTCTCAATGATCCAGATCTTGAGAAGATGGGCCTTTACCTTGGGCCGCCGTGCCCAAGATGCGG